CATACATGTTTTCTACCTGGTGTTCAGAAATACCACATGAACATTACATGTGCATTTGTTGCATTTGAGATGTATGCGCATGTCATCGATAATCTCACATATGAACCAAGGTCAATAATCCGACACATCGAAGAGACATACAAGTATACTATTAGCTATGCCAAGGCCTGGAGGGCCAAACAGAAAATAATAGAGATGAGATTTGGAACTTACGAAGCCTCGTATGACAATTTGCCACGCCTGCTTGGTGTTATCGAGGAAAGAAACCCTGGGAGCTCTTACGAAGTGAAGAAATTCCCCTCAATTGAACATCCTGGCAAGAGTGTGCTGCAAAGGGCGTTCTTAGCTCTACATGCATGCAAGATGGCATTCGTGAACTGTCGTCCTGTTCTCTGCATTGATGGGACATTCTTGACAGGAAAGTATCGGGGCCAGATACTAACAGCAATAGGGGTAGATGGGAACAATCAGGTATTGCCCTTGGCATTTGCTTTTGTTGAGAGTGAGAATACCGACAGCTAGTACTGGTTCCTGAAATTGGTTAAAACAAAAGTTGTTGGTATGAGGCCAAATGTGTGCCTGATACATGATAGGCACGCTGGCATTCTGCGAGCGATAGAAGAGTTGCAGTTTGGGAGTATGGAACGAGGATACCCCGGTGTTTGGGAAGATGTACAGAGTAGGTGGTGCATGCGTCATATGGGAGCTAATTTCTTCAAGCAATTCAAGAACAAGGAGCTCATGAACATGTTCAAGAGGCTGTGCAATCAGAACCAGGAGAAAAAATTCAATGAGCTTTGGAAGAGATTAGATGAGTTGACAGCCAAATGCAGTGATCAGCGTGCAGCGGCTCCATCGACCGCCGTTGCTGACCCTCCTCAAGCTCTTGGACCTCTCCCAACGGATAGTCCAACATTGGCTAGAAGAACTGGATTGGAGATTCGGAAATTTTCTCAGTGGATTCTGCATGAACCAAAAGAGAAATGGGCCAAGGCGTATGACACAGGTGGTGCTAGATATGGAATAATGACAACAAATTTGGCAGAAGTTTACAACTGGGTGATGCGCGGTGTCCGTGGACTGCCACTAGTTGGCATAGTGGAGTTCATTTTACATGGGACATGCAGGTATTTTAGGGATCGGTTCCAGGCAGTTCTTCCCTCTATGCCGAACAACAGCATTTTGTTTGGAACTTTCATGCAGAACAAGCCAGAGGAGTTGCGTAAAAAGGCCATGAAACATCAAGCTCTAGTGCAAGGTACCCAACAGCACAGGTTTGAGATACTATGTCAAGATAAGGCAGGCAAGGGTATCTACCGCAAGAGAGTGAAGCAGGAGTGTGTTCTCAAAGCCGACGGCACATGTCATTGCTCTTGTTCAAAGCCGAAGCTGCTCCACAGGCCATGCACCCATGTCATTGCTGCCGCAGCAGAGTGTGGCATACCAGATGCAGTATATGTGTCACAGTACTTCAGTAAGCAAGCAATATATCATACATGGAGCGGCGAGATTTATGGGTTCGGCATAGCTGGGGAGTTCACAGAGACTAACGATGAAGTACTCAATATTCCTGACCCATCGAAGCTCCGAGGCAAGGCTGGAAGGAGGAGGACTCGTCGCATCCGCAACGATATGGACGAGTCGGAGGCTGGCAGGGTGAAGCGTTGCAGCAAATGCGATGAACATGGGCACACCTACAAGCATTGTCCTAAAGACAAGGAGAAATCAAGTGCGGCGATGAACATGGGTTAGTAGTCAGCTGGCGACTTTTGTTGAGGACTGGTTGCTCGCAACCGAGGAGGTCGTGGACCACGAGGGAGAACCACACACTGAGGAGGCGTACCAGGCCTACCTATGCTGGTACCAGCCACGCACCTGTACTAGGGTCACCTTCGCTCCCTTGGAGCAGCAGCCCCACGTTGCGAGCACTAGAGACCTCTACGCCAGGCACCGCGACCAGGACTTCGCTCGTGCTGTGAGTACCCTGCATCGCACCATTCCTTTATGTTTTCATGTCTTTCTCTTCGTCAAATTTTACGAATATTTACGAACAAATTAACCATGCAGGTCGACGACATCAACCGGGTCGTCGTTGACGGTTCAACGACGATCCAATGTTTAGGCGTGGGGATTCCGGTACCCGTAGAGGAGCACCTGACGACGTACACGCGGATGGTGGAGTCGATGCGCTCGATTCTCCGAGTGCTCACCTGTCGTGCAGACGACGTTGCTCGGGCAGACGCAGCTGTACAGCGGCCACCCGTACCGACTGGTCCCTGTCCAGCTGCGCACGTTCCTAGGCCGACTCCCCCTCTGCACGGAGGTAAGTATTTTTATTACTATTTCTGTACATGCCTCGCACATATAAGTGAGCCGTTTCACTTGCCGATTGCTTCAGGGTTTCGTGCACCGTTCAGTACCCCGCCTTCCTCGGCTAGGCCTTCTGTTGTGCCCCCCACAGGTACTTAAAAAAACAACATTACTTCGACAATCAATTTACATGCATTTTATGTCTTAGCTTATAAGGGTCCCGTTGTCGATGTGTAGGTTTCGCCCAGTTCGCTATGACGCAGGCCGCCCACTTCTCGCAGGCTGCAGGGTCAGCGTCTCAGGCAGCTGCGTCGACCTCGCACTCAGCGCAGTTCTGGCAGTACACCGGGACTTCGTCACAGGCAGCCGGCACGTCGAATCAGGGTCCACCACTGGACCATGCTAGGACCTCGTCGGACCGCTTGCTGCCTTCCACCTTGCTCTTCGACATCACTGACTTTGACTTCGCTTCAGGCTCGACAGAGGACGTCATCAGCCCCTCACAGCTGGGAGGCGCACCGCCGGTGCAGACGCAGGACCAGGCGCAGGCCACTCCTCCGCGGGACACTCGTGCTACTCGTGCTGTGCCACCGGATCGTTTCACCTACTCCTAGGACCACGTGCGAGCACAGGCCCGGAGGACCAAGCGTGGTCGCGGCGCGGGGCAGGGCCAGTAGAGCAGTCTTCTCTTTGTTTATTTGCTTCACTTTCCAGTACTGTATGCTTGTGTAATGACTACGTTGTTGTTATATGTGCACAATACCTTTCGGCGCATGCACGATACCTTTCGGCGCATGCACGACTACTTTCTGCCGCACCGATGCAGCCTTCTTTATTCGCGTGCGATACGAGTATTTGCCCGCCATTTGGCGCATACGACCAATGTAACTTTTGGCGCCGATCAGGCATGTAACTTTCGGCGCCAATCAAGCGTACCCACCATACCCCACCACGTTCACATGTCAGGGGTATCACTCGATTTTTTGCGCCTATATAAGTCGCCTTAACGAGTGAGGCCTCACAATCTTTCAGAACTCAGTCACATTCAGTACTCTCTTCCCCACTTGCTTCATTACAAATCCGACTGGCTTTCGTCAATGGCTAGACGTCGGGGTGTTGAGGATCCGAACTGGCGTAGCAATCCTTGTGTATACCTACTACCACCTTGGTGCTAGCGTCCTCTCTGCCTATGCGGTGATCGATGCCAACTAATGGCTTCGAGGAATCCTGATATTCGAGGAAGGCGCTTTTTTAGGTGCCCTAACTATTTTATTATCTGCATATGCTTATTCATTCCGTATGGGCAATCGCTTTATTCTTCGTAACACTACTCTATTCGGCTCTATTCGGCAGACCCGCACTACGGCTTGCGCATACATCGAGTGGGTCAATACAGAAAATCTCGTTCTCGACCTAACCACTTGTTTACAAGAAGGTCGCTGGTATTTCGCATCCGAAAGTACTGAGCAATACTTACAGAGAAAAGCGGCAAAAAGCGGCTTATGAACGACAATGTCGTGAACAACAGAGCGACTGGCGGGTGCTAACTACGGCACTCCCTCCATGGGAAGCCCATCCAAGATGCAGGTGTGGTGATCGTTGTCAGGTTCTTCGTTCCATAAATCCTACAACATTGGGTCGAAGGTTCTTTGTTTGTCCAAATATTCTTGACGACGATTTCATAATAAGAATATTTTGATTACATGAATCCTTATTTTCTCACAATATTTACTAACTTTGCTTGCTTTACATCTATTTTTTCCTCCCAGGAACCACTAAGGAGATGTCAATACAGAGAATGGATAGACACCAGAAGGGTTCTAACTCCACCTAGCCGTGTTGTGCAGCTTGAACTACCAGAGCAATACAGGGTTACTAAAGCGCGGTTTGAGAGAGGAGAGGGATCCTCACGTAGGGGTTAGCTATTATCGGACAACTAGGCATATTGAAATTTCTACTGTCATGCTTCCTTGTCCCATTACTACATCGTCGCTGTGTTCAACTATTGCACTACCTCCCTCCTAGTTCGAATCTAATATCATCTATGTAACCGCAATGCAAATAGTTATATCATGTTCAAATTGTACTACTATTTCTTCATGTTACATAATTCTCCTTGTTTAAGTCAATATAATGTTTCTACGACCCAGTCTGCGATAGGCCTATATAAATTATCCGAGTACTAATACGTCGAATAAGGTACAAAATAATACCTCACTTAACATATGAAATTGCGCAACAACCAACTTCAATACATTTTTATAACAATATTAACAAGTTTTACCAATAAATACTTTTTTATTTATTATTAACATAACATAGAAAAATCTTTTGGCCGTACTTTTTTCATCTGGGTCCCTTGCCGCCCTAGCAGTAAGGGACCCAGATGTAAAAAGTACGGCCGCAAGCTCTTTATGGGCGGCCAAAATTGCAATTAGCCCCTTGCTGCCCTCTGTATGGGCGGCAAGGGCCTAATCGCAATTTTTGCCGACGGCGGCAGATGGCGCGGTCGACCCACCGTCTGCCACGTCAGCTTGCCACCCACCATTAGGGCGGCAGGGGCTATTTCTGCAATTTTTTTGGTCGATAGATTATTTCTGTAAATATTAAAAAAAAATCTAAAAACGAAAAAAAATTCCAGCCTGAAAGCTACCAGATCCATCCAACGAAGAGCTACTGCAAGTTTGTACTGTAGCAAAATGAAACCGAGCTGGATGTCAAGCTCAAACTTCTTGTGACATCAGCTTTCGAAATTCACACGTACTAGCAGGCAGGTGAAGTTAGCAGAGCACATGCAGTGTCACAAAAAAACGTTTCGTGCTTCGGTAACGATCTCAATCGCGTAAAATAGTAGACCCATTAAGTTTCTTCACTAATCAACAATGCGAAGGTCATTGGTTTTCCTCTTGCATTGAAAATGGTACTCCCTCCGTCCCACAATATAAGGAGAATTTTGAGTTTTTGCTTACAACGTTTGACTACTCATCTTATTCAATTTTTTTTTTGCAAATATAAAAATGAAAAGTTGTGCTTAAAGTACTGTGGATAATAAAGTAAGTCACAAATAAAATAAATAATAATTCTAAAATTTTTTGAATAAGACGAGTGGTCAAACGTTGTAAACAAAAACTCAAAATCCTTTATATTATGGGACGGAGGGAGTAGTGGGTCATATGTGTCTACTCTGTGGCAATAAGGAAAGGAAGTCCCCTGAAAGAAAAAAGGCATTTGAATCAGTTTCACAACAGTAGGTAGGCATTTCAATCAGTTTCCCAATAACAGTAGTTAAACCAAAATTTACAGAGGAACCGTCTCCACAGGTTAAGTTCACACGGCACTTACCAGCCACCTCTCCTAGAAAAATAATCACAATCCAGAGACACCGCAAGAGCTAGTGCAACAGCCCTTTCAGGTAAAGTCAACTGGCGAACAACATGCAGTTCATCGATCTGTGACCATCATTTGTGACATGGATCTCGATCAGGTAAATAGCAGTTAAGTAGGCAAGCTGTGTGTGGACTGTGAAGTACTAAAATGAGAACAGCACTTACATCTGAAGCGAGACCAAATTTACGGTTTAGTCCTGCATCACCAAATCGAATTGCATACTGGCCAGCATCTGTGAAGAGCTGCAGTGAACCAAAGATACATTCAGTCCTTTTTTTTTTGGAATAATGATACATTCAGTCCTTAAAAGCTCAGTCCCATTATTTATGCAGGCTAGAAGTAGCAGTGCAACAAATGAAAAAAATGCACTTTGAAAAGATGTGGGGTGTGGCATCTGCCATCAGCTGCATCAAACTGCACAAATATGTGGAGTCACCATAAAGCAAATTCAAATTACTGCACAATGAGTCTGTCCTGTATAATTGACGAGTTCTGTAAAAAAACACTTTAAGCAATGTAAAAAAGCAACACCGTCATATAAATTTGGAAGGGCAGCTCTTACTATCAATCTGTAAATAATGAATCTATATGTATCTAGTTTTTCTTGTCAGATAAGCATGGAATGCCCACCGACATAAAAGAAAATGCATATTATTTGACAATTCTCTACTAGAAAAGACATTTACCTCAAAACCGATTCCCCTCCAATTACGATCAATCTGGGCTAGTACATTGTCATCCTCATCTGTGAGAGTAAAGGTCCAGTTCCAAAATCCAGGATTCTCGACCACAGCAAATTGCCTATTCCTAAAGAACCCAAAAGGTGGCAGATCAAGTGTCAGGCAGTAAAGCAATACTAAAAGGTACACAAAGAATTGAGTAATTTGAGTCTAGTCGAAGAGACAAGGAAATGCAGAGATCAGAAGACCAAATTACCCTAAGTACAGGTCATAAATTCTACGCCAGAGATGCCAACGTCTGTGGACTACACCTACCTCCTAACCAAATTGAAACCGTTAAACAATGTCAGTACATTCCTGCACATTTATCTGGGGGCAAAATTCCCATCTAAATAAATTTGCACAAGCAAGTAAAGAAGTTTTGCATACCTTGCCATTCACTTCTGCATAAATGGAACTGTTGATAAGCCAAAATGGCCGTCGAACCTGAAATAAATGGTGTAAGAACATATTTACAAAGGAGTGCAGTAATAGCTTTATTATAAAATAGTACCGTAAAGATCTCATTGCCCATAGCATCAGTAATTTCTGCAACAAATGGCCTTCTTGAGCGAAATAGCTGAAACATTAGCAAAATGTTTCTTGTACATCAAAGATATGGAATGGGTAAATAAACACAAGACCTTTTTGCACGACAGTTATACAAACTTGATACATATTTACTCCCTCCGTCCCATAAAAAACCAACATAGTACTGGATGTGACACATCCTAGTACTATGAATCTGGACGTACCTCTGTCCAGATTCGTTGTACTAGAGTCACATCCAGTCCTAGATTCATTTTTTTCGGGACAGAGGGAGTACTTTTTATCATCACAATGAAAAGTTATACAACAACAAGGCCAGATCAAATAAACAAGACGAACATGTACAATAGAGAACACTTCCTTTTAAACTACTGCTATCAACAGCTAGCTCAGGTTCTCTAATGATCTAACCTTTATGCTATACCTCAAATCTACCAGATCGATAAACAAATTATACATAAAGCATTCTACATAAAACAAATTATACATAAAGTAGTTGATATTTCTCTGAAAGAAGATGTAAAGTATGTTTCCATTAAGTTGAAACAGAACAAAAGCACAGATATAACCCATCCCTCAGTATCCCAGTAACCACTTAACATGGTAACATATTGATATGTTAGATGATTAAAAATGGGAGGGAAAATATTTTTTGACAAAAATTCAAACACCCACAAGTTACAGCCTTGCATAACCTGCATTCCCTTCCATATCTCTAGTTTCTGAGTCTCTACAGCTAGATACTACAACTCCATTGTGAAATTTTATATAACACTACATTCTACACATCGAAATTCTACATAACATTGCATGAGTCCCACCACATTCTACACATAATGAAATTTTACATACCACATCACAGCCACCCTAATTGAAAGTTTGTAGCATCGATCATTACAAGAAAAAGGTGGCAAGAGACTCCTTGCCCAGCAAAGAGAGCAACCAAAAAATCATTCAACACAAAAGAAAAGGAGTCGTTACCGGTGCTATAGCTAAAAGAAGGGTTATCTGTCTAACCCACTAAAAACCAACAGCTGTTCTTTAACACTAGGAAGAGAAATGCATAACTCGATAGGACATGATGCATGATATATGAGACCATGATAATGTTTTATACAGAAATAAAATAAAGTCGATGCTGACTAAGCACACTAGTACAAATATCACATAGCATAATAGTTAATTTGAGAAGTTCAACATATTATGAATTTATGACACTGGTTTAATATTTAGAACACGAAATCATATATGTTCGAACTTAAGTACTGCTACGCAGAGAATTTAAAGAATCAAAATCCTGTCTCTATTCCACTAAGTTACTTTGAAGTCAAAAAACAACACCATGAAACATGGACTACTACAGTATTAACTTTTTTTTTTCGCCAGGAAGTATTAACTTATTTAGGATAAATTAATCACAAGCCATACCTGCCTAAATATGACATTGCTTTTCTCTCGAATGAAACCAACAGGCTGGAAATTTGACGAAAAATACAAGTCAATAATGAAGCCAAGACAATAAAATAATACAACAATAGAGTAATACAGCAATGGAACCAATGACAATCTGAGTACACATACTGATTGAGGAAAGAGCGGATCCATTATGATATATCTACTCTCCTGCAGTATGAGTAATAACAGTAAGTGATAACAGGTTGAAAGTCTGAAACAATCAAAGGACATAATTCAATAACTGGGAGAAAATATCAATGTCCCAAATAAATGTGCATATATTCAGGAAGCACAGAATGAATTGTGTAACTTTGTTGCTGGTAAAATGAATTATGTCACTTTTTTCAGTTTTTTAGCCGAGAAACGAAGCACTTATTCAAGTATGTGCTATCCTCCTTGAATCACATGAAAATTGCCTGTTGTTTTATACAGTAACAAAAACAAAATAGCAAGGACAATTGAACACAGTTACTATTTCATTTCCAAACACAGCAAGAGAAGCATCCTAGAGTCGCAACTTCAGTACACGTAAATGAGTAAATGACTCACAGATACATTACCTGCTCAAAAGCCAACATGATATTTGCCCATTCTATGTCCCTAGCGATCAGGAGGTTGGCCCTTGAGAGGAGAGGCTTCAGTTTGGCCTGCGAACCCACAGGAAAGTACTCTCAGTTAATCAAGTAACTCTAGATAATGATTACACATAATTTCAACATGACGAAACAGCTCATGTAGGATAAACATTGACCATTAAATCTAACTGTAAAGAGGTAAATAAATAAATATAGACAATTAACTGATTGGTTAATATCCTTCCATCCCACCTGCCCACAAAAGTGTCCATCTTGTTCATTCAAAAAATTGGTTTCCATCTTCATCCTATATCCTATACCCTTCAAACCTATCCAGCTATTCTGCAATACAAATTTACCAGCAATTCCAAAATTGGGGTATAGTAATTCATCATTCACTCTTTCAATCTGACATGTCATAGTTGCAAAACGTATATGGATTCAACGATAGCATCAACAATCAGACTATGTTGAATGACAGTGCAAAATAACAGTGGAACAGACTATAAACAGAAATAAATCCCGCTTGCCTCTATTGGCGTGAGGTCCCGATCGTCGTGTTGGAAGCTCCTCGACGGCGCCATGGCGAAATCGCCGAACGAATCCGCACCGCCGCCGTCGCTGGTCGCGACCGCGCGCCGCCCCCACCGCCTCGCAACATCCCTTTGCTTCCTCAACTCCTCGGTTCACAGCTTCTGTAGCCACTCCCGAGGCACCACCGTACCATCGCCGCCCCCGCAGCCGCTCGCGAACCCATTGGATCCCCCGACATGGCTGCCAGTGGTCCTCGCTGTGGCCCTCCCAGCCGCCGCGGCGTGGGAGAGCAGCCGGAGCAGCCACCTCATCGGAGCGAACTGCAGAGGCGGGGGAGGTTAAGAGGTGTTAGGATTCTATAAGAGAAGGTTTCATCGCCGCCCCCGCGGCCGCTCGCGAACCCATTGGATCCCCCGACATGGCTGCCGGTGGTCCTCGCTGTGGCCCTCCCACCCGCCGCGGCGTGGGAGAGCAGCCGGAGCAGCCACCTCATCGGAGCGAACTGCAGAGGCGGGGGAGGTTAAGAGGTGTTAGGATTCTATAAGAGAAGGTTTCGGTGTGGTCGCGGAAATGGGGTTTCCACGCTCCACGACGTTAACGATGGAGGTTAAGAGGTGTTAGGATTCTATAAGAGAAGGTTTCGGTGTGGTCGCGGAAATGGGGTTTCCACGCTCCATGACGTTAAGGATGGGCTTTTGCCGCAGGTACGGCTTCCGGAGGATTAAAGTGGGCTCATTTCCGACTAGGCTATGTTGGGCCAACTGGGCCGTGGGCCAACTACCGTCTTAATGTTTTTTTTCCATTTTTCAAAATGGGCCTTTACGAAATGTGTCATACACGTCCAAAGAAAATAGAGAATTGCACCTATACATATCATTGGAGCATAACAAAAGTAGAGTCTTTTCATACACTAGCGAAATGCCCGTGCATTGCAACGGATGAAAACAATTTTAATAATTAATCTATCATACGGTAAATCATCCGTTTTACTCATTGATATTTAATAAAAATAACGTGAAAATATTTAGAAATACATCAATATCATTGTTTATTAATAATATTTTTTCCTTTAATAATTTTAACTTGCATTTTATTATGTTATCACTTAAATATAAATTTATATTTTTCTTTAATTTTATATATGAATCGTACTTAAACTTTATAAAAATATTATATTCACATTGTTTCTAACATTCTATTGTTATTAGATTGTACTTGGCATATATCATTTTGTTTTTTTTATTCTAAACTATAGTTAATTTGAATTTATTAATTACCTAATTTAAATATCTATATTATTAGTCTAAATTATTTTTAATATTAAAAATTATAAAATATTATAGATATATCACAATGTTTTAGAGACGGGAAGACAAAGTAAATTCGATGGTTTCAATTTATAACTTGATAAAGAAAGAATGCTAAATTAGATTCATGCCAAGTGGCACAATATGTCTTATAAAATTTATAACCTAATAAAGAAAAAAAATGTTAAATTAGATTAATGCCAAGTGTTACAGTATGTCTTTTAGAAAATTTTGTGGAATGAAAACTCCTTATAAGAATATACCTTAATAAAAAGATATTTTGTGTGCTATGAGTAGTTTGTGGTATAGATTCTTCTTAAGAAATTTATGTGAGTTTGGATGAGTACAAATTATGAGCTTACATTTTCCGTTCTAATGCAACTATTCTAACATTTTCCGTTCTAATGCAACTATTCTAAGAGTGTTTGGATGAGATTCAGTAACAAAGTTACATCGGCTAAAAACAAAAATCAAAATTAACAAGTTGAAAGTAGGTGGAACTGGGCAGAGGCAGATCTAACCCTGTTTCGGTTGAACCCCCAAACTTTTTCGAGGGATAACGCAGAATAGCTGATGAGGTGTGGGTAGGGAGGGATGCTCACCGGCGAGCGACGATGCGGTGGAAGCAGGAGGACGCCGGGCGCCACCTCTCCTCGCAGGATGGGGATCGGCGCAAGCGGCAGGCGAGGAGACGAAACTCGAGGCCGAGGCCGGATGGGATGGATTAGGATGCTCACCGGTGAGCGAATGCGGCGGGAGCAGGAGAACGCCAGCGCCACCTCTGCTAGCAGGATGCCAGCGGCAGGGCAGGCGAGGAGACGCGAGTCGAGGGCGGCGGGCGAGGAGACGGGACGGATAGGGGAGGCGGAGGTCGTGCAGCGCTCTGCTGCCGTATACTCATATGCACAGGCCCATGAGGCTGGAATGTTTTCATCTCCCAAAAAAGTTCATCTAAGGTCCCTTATCTTGTCGTTGAGTTTTAAACGGTACTTAACCCTCTAATATTGTAAAACCGGATCACTTTTGATCATAAGGTAGTATTGCTTTCTGGTTTTGTTGACACGGTAGTATTGCTTTCTGGTTGGTTTTGTTGACGTGCGGTTGAGTCCCACGTAGACCCCACAAGTCAATCGACAACTTCTTTCACCTCACTCCCCTCTACTCCCATCTCAACCCAAACCTCCAGGGCATCCACCAATGGGTGGGGAGAATGGTGTCGGTCGGCGGAGAAAAGCTCAAGGCGGAGGCCGCCGGCTGACGTGGCTCCCAACGGCCGGGAGCGCTCACATCATGGACTTGCGTGCGCGGGGAGTGCGGCGCGGGTCCCAACTACAACTGCAATGTCGTCTTCACCTGTTCTTGCAAGGTGCTAGGTCTAAGTAATTTTTTTATAAGGGCGCTTATCACTACAAAAAATAGTTTTTAGTATCTTTCCATATGGGCAGCGCAAACCGCATGTGAAAACAGGGTTTTTGCGTGTGGGCACATATGGTAGCTATTTTTTAAGAAAATGAACTATTACATATGCAACAGGTGAATCAGTGAAACAAAAATAATTAATAGCTAAAACTGGTTGAGTGAAAAAAATAATATGAAATGAAGGAAGTAAAGTATATTCTATGAACTGTTGGTGCTCACAAGATTTCTATACACTAGGGATGAAAACGGAGCGGATACGGACGGATAATGCTCATACCATATTCGTTTTCATATTTTTTTACCGGATACGAAAACGAATACGGATAGCTCGAATACGGAAACAAATACATATTATCTCGAATACGAATAAGTATCGAATATGATCGGACACGAATACGGAAACAAATTTTTCTCGGAACACGAAAACCAACTCAACTTCTAATAGAAACAAATATTAACATATATAATTAGCTCATTTTATATAAAATGAGGTATAATTTATAAATATTTTTTAAAATTTAAATAATATTAATAGTATGGACTAGTGTTAAGAGATAAACTACTATTAAAATCTATAAAGGTATATTGAAGGTTATAGAGTTAGAAAGAAATGTGGTATGTCTCATGTGTCCTGCGGATATCCAAATAGCACTGTTCACCGGATATCCGAATTATTATCCGTATCCGACGGAAACCCTGGTACCATATTCGTATTCGTATCCGGGAGAAAATATCCATATTCGTATCCGTATCCGAACTATCCGAGAATTATCCGATCCGAAAGGTATCCGTATCCATTTTTGTCCGGAGCGGACGGAAACTATCCGCTCTGTTTTCATCCCTACTATACACTGGAAGACAAATTCGTGAGACCCACTAGTAAAAAGTCTCTCTCTGTCAGCTCGAAAGACAACTGACTGCCATGGGTCTCATTTATGTGATAGGGGAGACACAGGTCACTGCTTGAGGCCACAGGCAGCGGGGCGTGATGTTGTCGTGCTCGGATTGGAAACTGAATTTTTGTAAGTGATTGGTTCTGTTTGACGTGGGCGGAAGAGTCGAACACTTGCGGAGGATATGGAAACGGACCAAAAATTGTGTGAGACACGCTTTTCTATGACATATGACAAAAACACTATTAATGTTTTAAGTAGATAATGATATATAACTATATAAGTCGTATTTTGCAATGAAATTTGGTAGGATCGATATATAAATACATTATAACCTATCTCTCAGTATTTTCATATTTTTTTTACCGCCGTATACATATATTTCAAGATTTAAATATCGTGGTTTTACATTACAAACAATAGTCATGAAAATTTTAAAAATATTTTATGAGCTTTGATAATGGTGTTATGTTTGGCACTACAAAATAACTCGTATAAAAAGAAACAAAGAAGATAAATGCTCGAGCAAACCAATTTTAGTAGTTCAAGGGGTACAATGAGGCAAAAGATAGGTTAGTGGGTTAAGGGTGTTCTTTTAACTCCATCTTCCTAACTTATACTCACTTGTTTCCGATCTGCTAAACAGTGTATTTTATGTAAAAAAAATATAAAGAAAAGTTGCTTTAAAAAATCATATTAATTTGTTTTTATGCTTTTTAAACTAATATTTAATTAATCATGTACTAATGCGTGCTCTGTTTTACTACAGGCTAAATAGGAGGGGTTCCTAGCCCCTCTTTCCGAACTCAGCCCATATGAACCAATGAAATATTCTGGAGAATTAAAATAGATTTTCTTTCAAACCAATATAATAATATGCTTGTGCTAACGCTACAATGATATTATATTTTGACAATCAGGCATACAGATACAGATTCACGCCAAGGATACAGGAAAATAAACATCCAACCTGCATATTCATTATTCTGAAGCACAACCAAAAGCTACCAATGCAGCTGAAAATGAAGTTTTACATCATCCCTTCCTTCCCAACATTCTCAAGTTTAGTTAAAACTCTTTAAATTATGTTCGTAAAACTCCAGATATTCAGGAAGTTTAGAGGAAGAATGCCAACCGCTATTTCTCTCGAGAGCATCCTTTACTCATTTTTTCAGTTAACTCATTATTGCTCCATTAGAAGCAAAGAGTGTTGCCACCTTCATTTCAAAATCCCACACATTTCAAAGTCCTACACAATAATAACAAGTTTAATACCAAGACATAGTTATAGATTTTTAGTTTTGTATTAGCAAGTTTTTTGTTCTGCGAATGTTTCAGAATCCTAAATTGAACTGTGTTTCTGATTCAGATCATAACCATCACAAAAACTCATAATAGATCAAAATGTTCGTATATTTGGCAGCATGATGGACCATGGGTGAAAATAGTGACCCAAAACATTTAGCTGTCTTTTAGTTTCAGCAGAATTTTTTTTAACCACTTTGATAATTCAACATATGATCATTACAATCATCAGGTTTAGTATAAAGATACAGAGATGCACATCAAATTGAGCAACAATATCTTCGGTTCTCTTTAATATTTTCCTCTTATAATTGAATTATAGAGTATCAAATGAACACCTCAAATGGTCAAATTTCATATTACCATTGAGTCTTGATTATTTCAAGATCAAGCCATCATGCAAAAGTTAAAATGCTTCCATCAATTCCCCACAACCAAAAGTACAAGACAATATATATTTACCCTGAGGCCTCCATGATGTAAGCTTCAGTTTTCTTATACCTACAGACATCCTCAAATGTAAAACACAATTCCAAAAGGCATGCCTTCCATCTGACAAATCCAGGGATAAAATCTCAATTGCTGGCACCTTGGTTATGTCTTCCATCGAGTACGGACACCACCCATGATCTACACAATCAACACGGTTTCATAAACATAAATTTAGCAAAAGACAAAGGATCAAATTAAACTTTCAACACTTTAGCCAAATGCATGTTGAAAATGACAAATATTCATGACTGGAAAGAGTATCTACTAAAAAATAAAATCAGATTATGGGCCTCAACTTTTTATTTTACTATGCTATAAGGAAATGTAGAAACTATAATACTTCCTAAACACAACCAATAGCACACTGAATTTTTCATGCTAACAATTAAAAGATGGAGATTAAACATGCCCAATGATGGAGATTAAACCTGTAGCCTCAAGAAGCTACAGGTGACATGCTGATAGTTACAAGACCTGAGCGAAGCAACATGAATCTGAGTTTTGCATAGGCAGAACAACATAAATTATCAGCAGTGTCTTACTCTATATTCCTCCCATTCATGCAGACCCAGAACCTCCAAAATATCACATATTTCACCACAATAGTTGTTACAATACTTAAAATGATAAATTTTCTGAATGAAGAATCACGTACACTACCAAAGTATTTTAATAATGTTGAAAAATAATGTTGTGTAAAGGTCAAAGAAATTCAAAACCAAAACATGCTTCATGTCTGGATTTGACTACAATAACCTCGAATCAAACAACTCATAAAGGATTTTCGCTAGAAGCATAAGTTGATCAACCTATATTCTGAATGCCATTGTCAATTAAACTCAACTCTAATTTGTACAGATGTATATAGGAAAAAGCAACAGAAACCGATGTATTCTAGCAAATCCTCTGTCAGATTGAAGAGATAAGAAATATATATTTATTCATAAAAATGGCCAATACTTTTTTCTATGAAAGGCTACCTTTCTAAAATGGCTCATTTTTGATAGTTCCTAACCAGGTTCTAAGCAGCCAGAAACCCTGACATTTCTATCTATCAGCCTATGACATTCCTACAAACTAGTTCAATTCACTCCAACGAATCTAACTGCATGTGCTTCTTCAACAAGTTCTGGATCCTATCCAACCTGAAAGCAAAAGACATTTAAATCAAACAGGCTCAAAACCAGACTGCCGAACAAATTGCAAATTGTGGGGAATACGGCACCCGGGTTCCTCACGGTAGCAGCCCAAGTTAGGCTTCGGGGGTGGGCCAAGGGCCCATGACCGATATAGTAAGTCTAACATAGTTGGGCAATAGAGGGAGATTATGGTAACAGATCCCCAATCATGTAATAGATGGCAAGTATCCAGATTGTGAGGATACGGGGCCTTGATTGGCGCCGGCGGCCTGAGATTGTATAAAGGAGGCCGGCGCCCTTCCGAAGGCCGGATCGTCTCCACAACCCGTGGGTCTTCCTTGGCTTCTCAGTTCATTTTCCACCCAGATACAGAGAAAAAAACACACTGGACGTAGGGTACTACCTCTTCTCGAGGGCCTGAACCAGGATAAACACCTGCGTCACCATCTCTCCTTGATCTAGCGTACCCCGTAAAATATATCGCCGATACTAGAAATCGACAGTTGGCGTGCCAGGTAGGGGGGCGCTCGATCGTTTTCAAGGCGGAGATGGCACCTACTGGCTTTGAGATCGCCAGCACCACCACTTTCCCCACCGCCACCCAAATCTCCTTCGGCGCATTCGACTTCCTC